TTTCGTTCCTCGTTTCCCGCTTCCCACCCCAAAAATAATACGCTCCGTTGTGAACAACACCAAAAAAAATATCGGAGAGGAGGGGTGTGGGTGGAGAAACGCGTACCGCGCTGTGTACAACAGAGAAAGGGAGTCGTAGGGCGGTTTGTGAGGCGATCCGTACACTCTCTTCTGCGTGGTTTAACGTGTTTCTGTGATTTGCGTGTTGTTCTCTTTTTGCAGCGCGTGCCGGTCTGTGTGTGTGTCTGTTGCGGCATCCGTCGAGATGGATGATGCGTCCTCCTGCCTTGTGCCACACACCAAAGCGGAGGCCGTGGCGTTGTCTCTGCTGAGGGTTGGTGGCCGCGCGAAGGGAGGCGGCCTCGCCCAGCCCCTCAGCCATGGCACACGCACCGAGAACGCCGACGTTTCGTCCACAACGCAGGCGCTTTCCGATACGCCGTCACCGTCACGGCTGCAGCACGGCGCCCATGACGACAGCGGTAGCAGCACGGTGGGAAGTCTCATGCTTGGTCGTCTGGTGCCACGGGTGAAGAGCAACAGCAGCAGCTCGACCTTAGTCTCGCGCCAGGATGTGACGCCTGCCGTGGTCTCGCTGNGTGCCACGGGTGAAGAGCAACAGCAGCAGCTCGACCTTAGTCTCGCGCCAGGATGTGACGCCTGCCGTGGTCTCGCTGCGCTGGCTGCTGGAGCATAGCGATGCGGCGCAGCGCAGCCGCGACGTGCCCACGGTGACTGCGAGGAGTTGCAAGGCGCCTGACGATGACGCCTTGCCACTGCGGCTGATTCAACCTGCAGGCCTCACCGAAGTGGAGAATCTGGACAATGAGGCGGTTTTTGCTATAGGCATGCTCCGTGAGTGGGGCGAGAAGGAGAAGGAGGAGTTGCTGCTGCGTAACCCGATTCTAGGGCAGTATGCCGCGACAGAGCCGCACACGCCACTGTCGGCGGTCCTCACGGGGTTTGCCACTCCTATAACACCAACGAGCGAGAAGGGTACCGCACCAGTAGGAGGGTGTTTTCCCGCCGCCCCCCCACGGGGCACCACCACCACCAGCTGCAGAAATACCCGAACACTGGTTCGTCATGTCTCTTTGGATGAGGTCGTGACGGTAACGAATGTAAAGACCATTGCGCCTCGAAGCAAAAGATTTTTACATTGTAGCCACACGGTGCGCTCTGCCACGACTGAGGAGCGGCCGTTATTCAAGGAGACTATTGACGCAGGTGCAGCTGCGCCGTTGGAGGTTGATGATGAACTAAGCCGAGGCCTCTGCGGTCGCGACGATCATTTTACGGAGAATAGCGCGGAGGAGAGGCGTCAGCGACGATTCAATAGGGTGGAAAAACGTGCGCTGCAACTCAGCAACGTTTTGTCTCAGTGCCATTTTTTCGGTGCGGCTGATGTTCTACAGGTCCTACAAGGTGAACCTGAGAAGAGTGGCGATGCTGATGCGCCCTTGACCTCATGCCTAGAGCCGAAGGATCTCAGTAGGTCTGTCATTGGACGTGTTGTTGCCTTGGCAGATCGTTCGTTGAGGCGACGAGCAGGGGATGATGACTGGGATACGTTTGCTATCGATGACGACGACGAGCTGGCAGGTGATAAAACAGAGAGCTTCTCGTTGCTTGGGAATACAGTAGATCCGTACAACTCCGCTGCGGATGAGTTGTGTAGTGTGATAGATTTGGGGCGGATGGCTGCGGCGTGTGCGGAGCTTGACGACTACTTGAAGCCATCCACAGCGACAGAGGTCACCACATGAAGGGCAATGAGCCGATGTATAAGTGAATGGAAAGATGAATGGAAGGGGAGCATACGAAGGGGATATACTACTACTACTACTACTACTGCTCCTCGACGTCCTCATCCTCGTACTCCTCCTCCGGTGGCCGCCGATGATGCGGGGATTTGGAGGGATTGTTTATGTGTTGCTGCAGCTGTGCTATAATCACCGCCCCATGCTGTTCTTTGATTATCATGCCTGTGACATGAACCTACCCAGGCTCATTGAGGAGGAGTAGGTGAAACTGTTTAGAACGGGGCGTTGCTGTGCGGTAGTGCTAGAAGTAATGAAGCCCGTGTAATTCTCTTTCAACAGAGGTGCTCAACGGGAGGGGGAAAAAAGTGGGCTGTCCCATCCTTCAGCTACCCGCAGTCTTTTTTTTTTTGGAGGTTGGGATGCTATCCCGTTCTGCCTCCCTACAGCGGTGTGATATGCACTGCGTCATAACAGTTCAACTGATGCTTCTTTTTCGTGCCAGTTTCTACCTTGTATTGCAGAAGCGTGCGGGATTGGTGCGCCAACATATTCTTTTCTTCCGTTGCTTCTTCACAACTGTTTCGGAAGGCCTTCCGCTCTCTGAGCAGTACTCGCGTCCAATAAAGATATATATATATATATATATATAAGGTTATATAGAGAGGTGCTGAGAGGAAAGGGAACCCGAAAAAGAAAGTGCGAGAGAGAAAGGGAGAGAAGTGGCACACAAATATGCGGAACAATCAAGACGATGAGATTGCAGCTCTTACGGTTCACATGCCGTGGCTGAAGCGTGATGAGGCTCTTGAACTGCTGCGGCGCTACGGCGGGAGCGCTGAAAGCGTGCTGCAGCTAATTAATGCGGTCAGTGACGAGCAGCAGCCCGGGACGCAGTCTGCATCTACGCCGCCGCCGCGTGCACAAAGTCCAGGCGCAGGCAAGAAGATGGAGAAGTACTTCGTTGGCGGCGGTGCGTCTTCCGGGCAGATTGTAATAGCCAGCGGTGACGCGATGGGGGCCGGTAGAGGTGGTGAAGTGAACGATGTCATCAAGTCCATCTTTGATCGGGAGAAACAGCCGCTGGACAACGAAGACGGTGAGGGTGTGCATGCGTTCTTTGGACGGGGGCGGCGGCTCGGCCACACCGCGACGCCAAGCCCCTTCATCGCATCCACCGCTCGGCAGCGGCGTGAGGTCGCGGTCAAGGTGTTCCGCAACGCCTACTGCGTTGACGACGGGCCAATTCAAGAAAAGGACAGTGAAGAGGGTATGGCCTTTTTCAAGGCGCTAAATGAGGGCGTGGTGCCAGACAGCATTGCGGCAATGTACCCCACCACCTACATCGACGTGCTACTCGTCGATTGCATGCAACAAGATGCCCCAGCAGCGACGTTCTCGGCATTTGCCGGGGAGGGCCACCGGCTCTCTGGCCCCACCACTTCGACCACCCCAACAGAAGCAGCAGCAGCACCAACAACACCACCGAGGGTACAGAGCGCCACTTCCAGTGGAAGTGGGACTTTTAAGCTTCACGAGGGCGAGGAAACTACAAAACTGGCGATTGTAAACTTCCTCGGTGAACGGAAGGAGTTTGTGGTGAACCCTATGCGTCACACTGTGGGGGACATTTTCACTTTAGCGTCGCAGCAGGCACAGCCTGGAGCGCTGTCGTTTGAACTCATCGCCCGCGACGTCCCCCCACGGCCATTGGTGGATAAGTCTCTTACGATTGATTCTGCCAAGTTGCGAAATGCCACAGTTATGATGCGGAAGGCATAATTTCCCTCAGAATGCCGTCATTGGAGGCAGACAAACTAAACCAATCAAATAAAGTAGAAACTGTGTTTTGCTTGTTTCTGTTCTCACATGAATGCTTTTCATTTTCGCTGCTTGCTGCGTCATTCGTGTTATCCTTGCCGTTGTAGTGGTTCCCCGTCAGATTGTCTCTGCTGTGCCCCTGCAACGTAGATCTATATTTCTCTCGCTCTCTCTCTCTCTCTGTATATATATATATATATGGATAACAGTGCGGCCTTGTATGTTATTTTTGCTCGTTTTCTTGTATTCGCTGCATTTTGTTCTTCTGGTCTTCCTGTTGCCCGCGTTGCCCCACAATAACGCAACACATAGTACGAATAGCGAATCAACAATGCTGCGCCGCTCGTGTGTGTTGTGCCTCGCGGAGGGCCCGCTGGTGGTGCCGAGTGATGTCGGCGACTGGACGCGACTGCGGCCACTCACAGAACGCTTGACAGTTGGCGCCTGCAGCGACACTACAGTTCTCGACCCGTCCATTATTCCGACGCGGCACCTGCAGCGCAGCTTGTTTCGACTTCCAATCCCAAAGCTGTCAAACACCTGCGCCCGGTACTTGGATGTTGTCAAGCCCTTAGTATCGCCTAAGCAGTTCGACACAACGGCGCGAATTGTGCAAGACTTTCAAGCAGGTGCGGGTGTGAAGCTACAGGAGGAATTGTTGCGTACTGACAAGGCCAACAAACACACATCTTACATCTCCGCTGACTGGTTCGATCTGTACCTGTCAGACCGGCAGCCACTCCCAATTAACTACAACCCGTGTCTTCTCACAAGACGTGATATGGATAAGACCGATATGCTTACCCGGGCAGCCTTCTGGATTACGAGCAGTGTGTCCTTTTACAGGATGTACCTCAACAACACACTGAAGCCAGAAATATTCTACTTTGGCTCCAAAGACCATTACTGTCGGAAGGATTGGTTCCAACGCACGGTGGCACTCGCACCAGAGTACTTTTCTGCGAAGCTGCTGGCGGTCGGCTCCCGATTTCACGCCTTTCCACTTGACATGTCACAAAATGATAACCTGATGAACTCGACCCGTGTGCCAGGTGTGATCAAGGACGAGTTGAAGGCTTTTGGGTTCATGCCGCACATCATTGTACAGTGCCATGGCCACCAATATGTTGTGACAGTTGCGGATAGCGAGTGCCGGCCGCTGCCAGAGGAGCAGATATACGCGCGGCTGAAGGCCATCACCGACTTGAACGCGGCGCCGCCCAAAGTAGATGTCAGTGTTTTCACGAGTATGGCAAGAACTGCATGGCACGGTGTGCGTGTTTCTATGATGCGCCATCATGTGAATCAACAGAGCTTCGAACAGCTCGACTCAGCCATGTTTGTGTTGAACCTCGACGCCGATTTGGAGGTTGATTACTTGACCTCGCGTGGCGCCACCGAGGCGACGCGTGCGATGCTTGTGCGTGATACGAACCGATGGTGGGACAAGAGTCTCTCCGTTATTCTGACAAAGGACGGCTTTCTTGGTGTCAACTTTGAGCATAGCTGGGGTGATGGCGTTGCTGTGCTGCGGTACACACAGGATGTGTTCAATCACTCTATCATGCGTAGCAGCAAGAGCATGAGGCGGGATGCGGCCCCAACAGAACCTGTGCGGCAGCTTCCATGGCACTTGACGCCAGAACTGGAACAGGAAGGTGCCAGGGCAAAGGCACGCATCGTTTCTGAGATTCGCCGCATGGATTTCAGCACCTGCATGGTATCTGACATCGGCACAAGCAGCAATCTTCTGAAGAAGTGGAACATCAGGGCCGACCCATTTATGCAAACGGCAATGCAGCTTGCATGGTGGCGCTTGTATAAGAGTACAGTCAGCACATACGAAAGCGCCAGTACTGCAGCGTTCCTGCGGGGCCGCACCGAATGCATTCGGTCGGCGACGCCGGAAAGTCACGCCTTCACCATGTTGATGGATAAGCCAAATGCGACTGCTAACGAGAAGGTGGAGGCGCTTCTGAAAGCCATTCGCAAGCACAGCAAAAATGCCAAGAATGCGAAATCTGGTGAGGGTGTCGATCGCCATCTGTTTGCACTGAAGAAAGTGGCGGAGCGCCGTGACCCACAGCGCATTCCAGAGCTGTTTGCCGATCCTTCATACGCAACGCTTGGTAGCAACATGATGAGCACCTCTTCTTTGTACTCGGATACCCTCATTGGCGGCGGCTTCGGCCCTGTGAGCCCCGGCTACGGTATCGGCTACGCGGCGGCATCTGACTGTGTGATGCTAAATGTGTCGTGCTGGAAGGAAAGTGGGCCGATGTACTCAGCGGAGGACTATACGCGCGCCGTTTACGCTGCCGTTGTGGACATCTACAACATAATATATGCGACGAAAAGGGATACGTGAGGTTTGGCTTATGATTTTGGACACGTCTGTGATAGCGAAGTGGGGGAGCTCTTTTTTTTTCCTTGAATGAATGCACGGGGTGTGGGCAATGATTCATCCATTTGATCCTGCGTTGTATTTTAACGCGGCTGGGGATTTCAATTCCACCTTCCCCTACTTTTTTTTTGTGTTTGATGGCTTTTTTGTTCGAGGGGCAAACGTTTTGTCTGTGGTCTCAGCACAGACTCTTGGGTGTGCACGCACACACATGCAAACACATACCGCTTATGCAGCTGGGAAACTGTGTCCAGTATGTGTGGGTTGCGTTGCTTGCACCATTGCCAGTTGTATATCATGCGCTGTGCTTTCTGAGATCTGTTTTTTTTTTTTGGACTTCTTCATATTTTTCTCTACGCTTTCCATGACTCTGCTCTGCTTTCTTTTTTGATTGCTTACTCCTATTTTCTATTGTTGGGGATAAGAACAACGAACGTGATAATAAGGCTCGAGTGAAGTGGTCCCTATCCTTTCAAGGACAGACACACTCTCACACACACACACACAGAGGAGAAGTTAAAAGAGAAAAAAGACTTACACACATAAAGCGCTATGCCACCGAAGAGAAAGGCCGCTGCTGCGAAGGATGCGGAGGTGGAGGAGTGCCCTGCGGCTGCTGACGTGACGACGACGACAACGATGACTCCGCCGGCATCTCCCCCGCATGATGGGGCAAACAGTAATGCTTCTGTTGCGGAATTGTACGCCAAATTGCAGGCCGCCGTTGCGGAGGACCCCGCGAATTTGAACAACTTTGTGCGGGAGTTGCTGATGTTGCTGACAGAAGCGGAGAACGCCGAGGCTCCGCTCCTCGTGCGTGTGCGTACTTTGGAGTTTGTTAGCCGCTACGGACAGCACCTGCGCGACGGCAACGCCCTTAAAAGGATCGAGACATCCCTGGTGAAGATTCTCAGTGGAACAGAGGACACGCCGCAGCTGCTTGTGGCGGCTGTTCAGGGCATCTCCGCGCTCGGGCCCGTCTCTGTGCTGGACAAAAAGTGGGAGTATCTGTCGCGCGAGGGGGCAGATGTTCTCATGCAGGTGATGCTGGACGAGGAGGGCTTCGCAGAGAACGTGCGCACGGCCGCCGCTAGCGCGCTCGACAGCCTTGTGTGCACCGCTTTCCGTCCCGTTGTGACAAAGCTGCTGCACTGGATCAGCGACGACCGTGAGACCGATGATGAAGCGCAGCTGGCGAAGGAGCGCCGCTTGGCCATGACTCGGCTGCAGCGGCTGGCACACGCTGCGTCGCTGCGCCCGCAGTGGACGGAGGAGGTGCAGGAGCATGTGCTGGGCCTCATCATTGTCGTTCTCTCCGCTGTGACAGTGCGGGAATTCGTGCAGCTCGTCGGCGTCGCCGCCACACTTCCAATCGTGCGCGAGAAGGGCTGCCTTCCGCTGCTTACCGCATTTCTGGCGAAAAATAAACTGGACAACGACCGCGCTCTTGAGTCGCTCAGCATTATTTCCAATTACATTAGCGCGACGTCCTACGATATCACGCCGGCGCTCGAGGAGGCGTCGCTGCTTACGGCGCCTGTTGAGACGAACACGGCAAAGGGTTTGTGGCACGCGAAGGCGCTGCTGCTGGCCGCCCGTCTCGCGACGCCTGAGAACCTTGAAAAGGTGTACGCCGCGGTGCTAGAGCAGTTGACGCGCATGATAGGCGACGGCAGTGTGTTGCCAGAAAACTTGACAACACTTGAAGTGCTGCTGTTTGCTCTCGTTACGGTGGGTCGACAGAAGCCAACAGATTTGCTAAAGCAGCTCAACGACGAGGCCTTTGCAACGGCGTGCAGGAAATTAATGGAATCCATTGTCCAGATTGAACCATTTGTGGTGTATGCAGTAAAAAAGCGGATTCAGAAGTCCACTGCGGGCCGCAAGGAGGCGGAGGCGCTTGCCTGCTGCAACAACATACGGGTAATGCTGGGCGCCTTCACCTCTCAGCATATCCCTATGGGATCCCTCTCTGAGAGCTGGGCACACAAGCAGAAGCTACCAATCCTCAAGCGTTCACGAGGCGCCACCGCTACGACGTCAACGGTGCCGGGCACAACATCAACAACAGGAGGTGGCGTCGCGTCGTTGGGCGTGCTGCCGCCGCCGCCTGGCACAGAGGAGCACGCCAGGAAAAGGGCCCGCACACAGGGCGACCGGAGTCATAAGGGTAACAGAAGCGGTGGTCGTCGTAACCGAAACCCACGCCGTGGTGGCTTCTAGAAGGAGGGATTATATATATATCTACATATATAAAGGAGGAATTGAACAAGCAGGCATTCGGGCACAGATGAGAGCATCAACGGCACGCTCAAACAAAAAAAAAGATTACAAAAAGACCACGGATACATAGAAAAAAAAAGGGCATTACACTGATGCCATGCAAAGTGTTTTGTAGTGCTCTGTAACCACTTTTACCGTCAACTGGAGGAAGAGAAAAGAAGAGAACACGGACCCGCGGCCATGCGAAAACAATTTAGAGGTGAGACACCCACGAACAGGCGTTGAGATAGGAATGGGGTGTCTATTGAGCTCTGTGATTTCCCCGTCTTTTTTACTCTTACTAAACTACATGTTTCGTCTGCTTGTGTAATATATATATATATATATGTCTCTGTGTTTGTCTGTAAACATATACATGTATGTGTATTCTTTTGTCTCTGCTTGTGGGATGTTGCAATTGTGCCTCAACTCGTGCTGTTTCTTCTTTTGGGTCGTCTTTGCTTGGGTGGGGTTTCCTCTGTGTTGGTGTGAAGGAGCCCTGGATTTGCCCCAACCAACAGCAGGAATTGCTACCACACTGGGAGAGGGTGATGTCGACGGAAGATGCAGAGAAGAAGGATGTGTTCTTTTACACTGCAGGCCCCGCGCTGATGTCCGGTGCAGCGCAGGCAATTCTGTTCAACCCATTTGATAGAGCACTCTACGTGCGTGTAAAGTTTCGCCGCCAGCATTTTCTTGACCGCCGCAATTNCAGGCAATTCTGTTCAACCCATTTGATAGAGCACTCTACGTGCGTGTAAAGTTTCGCCGCCAGCATTTTCTTGACCGCCGCAATTTTGAGCACCCGTTTCAAGGATTTTTGAACGCGGCAGTCTACCGAACTTTGGTGGGGGCCTCGTACATGTTCTGGCAAGACTCTGCACGAATTTTTATTGAGAGGGAAATGCCCGAGTATATGCAGGCATCGCAGTCGCCGCGGTTGAACGCGTTCCTTATTGGGGCGTCAGCCGGCTCTCTCAATGGCGCTGTGCTGAACGGCATGCAGGTAGTGAAGTACCGCATGTGGAATTTGGAGGGGAACCCTTCATTCCTTGCGGTGGCGCGGGAGCTTTACTCTGAGAGCGGAACGCGCATTTTCTTTCGCGGCGCTGGCGCGACGGCCCTCCGCGACTGTGTGTTTGGAGTGGTGTACGAGTCGTGCCGGCGCACCAACACCCTTAAGGACCTGCTCGACCCCTACGTGCTCTCTGCGGAGCGACGGGCCCAGCTGTTCCAGGGTGCGGCGGTGGCGCCTAGTTGCCGGATCACACGTGATGATGAGGCTTCTCACAGCGATGGCGAGCGGGAGCCTATTTGGAAGAGTACGAAGTGCGGCACATGCGCTTTTATCTCCAACCTAATCGCCGCGCTGCTCGCTTCAATCGCGAGCTCACCGTTTAATTACCTCCGATCAGTGATATACGGCGCCCCATCGGGCTCTGTACCGATGCGCTACGCCTCCCTTCTTCATTCCTTCCTTTTCCAGGCGCGTTTCATTTATTACCGTGGCGAGAGCTTTACCGATGGGAAATCTGTTGGTGTGGGAGGGGGGCAGCCACTGCCGCCAGCTGGGAAGGCCTACCAGCAGTACCGCTTGTCCAAAGAGGTGGAGCGGCTGCGGGGAAAACTCACGGCGCGCGCTGTTCGGCGCAGTCGGCACCCGATGGCCGCGTGGCGTTGGGTGAACAGTCGGCTGAATATTGGGTGGGGGTCTGTCCGTGTCGGCCTTGGCATGGCGATTGGGCAGAGCCTGTTTCACATGCTGCAAGATATCCTTCGAGGTGTGTGAGCGGGTCGTAACACGCCAGCTGACGTGTGTTTTTCTAGTTGGGTGTAATGTAAGTGGAATGAGGGATGGTGGCAGAAGGGGTTGAATAGTTAACGTGCTTGACAAGCACTTTGTAGGTTTTCCAAATTTTTATTGCCTTTTGGTCTCTTTATTTCGTTCATTGACGAACGGCTAACTTTCATTTGCATCTCAGTTTCACTTTTTTTTTTTGTGTGTTGTTTGTCCTTTTGCTGTTGATGCCGTGGCCTCCGTGGCTTCCTACGGGAGTTGTGGTGCAGTAAGGTAAAGTGCGGTGAGAGGGGGGCACAACAAGAGGAGGAAATGCGTAGTCTTCGTTGTGCACCACCGTGCGCAGTGATGATGCACGGCGCCTTGTATCAGGCTGTGCGGCGGTGCCTTTCACAGCAGGAGGATGACCTGATGTGGGACGCAATACGTGTCATTCTGCGCCGCCATGGAGCGCTGCCACTGCCACGCATCACCGCACTCCTCAGCGATGAGGCGCTGGAGGTGATGCAGAACGTCAAGGGTGGTCTGCGTCGATACATGCAGGAGCGTCCAGTGCATTTTCACGTTGAGGTTCTTCCCTCTGGCGTGACAGTTGCGATGCTTACGACTGAGCTGCGACGCGCGCGTTTTGGGGATAGCTCTCGCCTCCTTACGCAGGTTCTGGCCCATGTGGCGGCGTCACCACAGCAACAGCTCACCGTGTCGCAGGTCTTCCGCGCACTTCCTGCATTGGAGCAGCGTAAATGTGGCAATGAGAAGCGGTTAGAGTCTCTGCTTCTGCAGGAAGCATCGCTGCTGACGGTGCATAACGGTGTCGTGAAGGCGGCCCCCACATCCTTCATGGCGCGCCGTGGCATCTCGCATGCACCACCGCCCCCCTTGCCGAACCGCACGGCAAAAGTTTGCGAGTCAGTGCCGGAAGCACCACACACTTCCAGCACATTTGCAGAGGATGCAAAGCTCAACAAGCTGTTAGCGCTACTGTATCGGAAAGTTCCCTTCTCGTACTACGTTCCGCTGCGGCTTGTGGTAGAGTCGTCACAGAGTTTTATGTGCTTCGCCCACGGCATATCCGTGGACGAGATTCTTGAGGAGTTGCACCGCGTGCCGGCGACGACACTGGACTGCCGCGTCATTGGGGGGGAGTTGGATGATGTCTTTCTACGCATGATGGACGCAGAACGGCGCCCGTACACCGGTGATGAATCCAAATTGGCGCGACATTATGAAGTCCTACCGCTTGGGGCGCCGCTGCTGGATGCCTTCCGCGGGTACGCCGCGGCGAGTCCCGAGAACAGACAACGGTTGCAGTCAGGTATCAGCATGGGCGACCTGAAAAACGTCCTTCCGTCAGACCTTCTGCAGCGGCTGTTCATCTACTCGACGGCAGACAAAGAGTCTGCTTGCATCTTTATCTTTGACCGTCTGCGCCACCTGTTCGATGTGAACATGACAGCGTACAAGGTGCGGCTGTGGGAGGTGCTCGCCGCCCACGCTCAGCCGTCGAGTCTAACGTGGCAGACCACACCACTACCTTTGGTGCTTCGCCACTTCCTCATGGCGCTGAGTGAAAAACCACTTTCACCAGAGGCGGTTCTCGCTGCGATACCCATGTGGTCGAAGAAGCAGCTACAGTGCGCCTACGACACTGTGGAGGCGTTTGTTGCGCATCACTCATTGTACTTGCTGCTGAAGGATGGACTCGTGTGGACACCATATCTTGCCGCTGCCTCTCAAGGGGCTCGCGTTCCGACAACATCACGCAGTGGCGCGGTGGGTCGCAACTTGACGGATGCGGTAAAGGCACGGATGCTGATGGAAGTGATGCCCCTGCACCACCCGTTGGATTGGAATCGCTTCCGCTTACACCCACTCGTGCGGGAGCTGCCGTTTGAGACGCGCAACATGCGCCCCGAATTCTTTGAGCGGCACCGTGAGTGCTTCCGTGTCTACGAGGTGTTGGGCTCCACATCGTTTATTGTTGGCAGGCGGGACGGTATACCGCCTGCGCCGGAGCTCCTGCAGCCGCCGTGCAATTCGCTGAGCGATCTCGTGAGGCAGATGGCCCTCTTCTCGATTGGCGGGGCGCAGGAGTCCACAGTTCTAAACAATTTGTCGAAAGAGGCACGTATGATGATGCGGAGGTACGGCTCACTGGAGAACATTGCGATGCAGTTGCCGATGTGGTTCGACGTGCGAAATGAGCGGCAGGAGCCGGGCTGCGCGATCATCTCTTACATTGCAACGGAGGGAGCCTGCCAGCCACGCGACAGGGACCAGTGCGGTGAAGATTGAAAGGTGAGGTATGAATGATCTGTCTCTTGTGTGTCAATGCAGTGCGGTCATACACACACACACACACACACATACATGCAGGACGACGGGCTCACACTGCTCAATGCGCTACTGTGGCGTAGTCGAGTCGTCGTGTGTGTTGTGTAGAACGTGATATTATTGATTCTTATGCTTACTCCTTGTTTTTTTTGGTTCTTTCTGTTGCCTTGGTTCCCTTCGTGTTGAGAGTTTAGGAGCGCACGCGCACACACGGAGAGGCGGCGAAGGAGAGGAAGTGATCAGGGGTGTAGCGATGCGTCGCGGCGTCTTCTTCATGGGCCGCACATTCACGCAGCGGCACCTGAACGCGTGCCGCAGCCCACTGCTGACGGGGT